ACACAATCAACTTAAGGTTGAATTTTTTTGTAGTGTCTGTAACAAAGTTTAACACAAACATTTTGGAAGCCTTTGTTAAAGGAAAGTTTCTTTTCTGCTGATAGTCAAGTACCCTGCGAGGAATGTTTTTACAAATTATAAATTGAAAAGTGTGCTGAATAAGTTTGTTAAGGAAATTAGTTTCCAAAAAGTTGGTCTCTCAATGTAATTTCTGTAACATGGAATTGCCCTCATGATTCTCAGAATAAGCACACATGCAAAAAACTTCTGTTCAATAAAATTATGATGTAAAACTTATGTTAATACTTTAATATTGGTTCTATTCCTCATGGGGACTCAGAATTTTTTCTTTGTCCCAAGCTCGTGACAAGACAAAAGAAACATTTTTCTTTATTTCAATATTGGAGTTGTAAAGGAAAAAAAAACATTGTAACTGTATAAATTTTGTGCATACAAACAATGTTTATGTTTGGAAACTATATGCCATCAAACTTCATCTGTTACATCCACCCATTTGTTTACCAGTATTTAAGCTTACCCATCACAATTGAGTGCCATTGAGATCAAAAGGAAAAGATATGAATGAATGAAAGAAATGTCTAGCTACATGAACATTTTGTTTTTCTTGAATTATTATCATTTAATTGTGCTATATAGCGGTATATACTGTGCTAACTTGTAATACGCTAAGCGTGACATTGATCAGACTTTTAAAACTGAAACAAAGACTAAGCATGCAAACATGACCAAAACAAAACATAGTGTTTCCTTTATTGTTTAAAAATAATATATGCACATATTAAACATGCTAAGCATTTTATGTTAGGGTGTTGTTTGTGTGTGTTATCACCTTCGTCCCAGAAATCATATGGCGGGTCACATTCAGTCAGCCATTGTGGATCGTGGTGGTTTTTGTTGTTGTTGTAGTTGTGGTTGTTGTTGTTGTTGTTGTTGTTTTCTTTTTTTTTTATTCCAGTTGACTTTTGATATTTTCAACTAAATGAATAAAGGGGGTAAGTTTCTAAAGAGACTATGGTGCTGCCGGAGGGTATATACCAGAATAATTAAGTATTATCAACAGAGCTGATAAGGTTTAAAAAAATGAAAATTTGAGTGTTATAGCCCTTTGTCAGAGCAATTGGGGTAACAAACAAATTGTCAGTTTTAAACTTTAAACAATATCAACTCAATTGATAATAGAAAATTACTCCATGGTGATTATAGAATGTTGTGGTTAATACCACTTATAACCTTTGGGCACCTGTTAGTGCCCTTGTGACTGTCGTTGTCTTTCATAACTGATATGTGGTAACTGTTGTTTTGTTGCTTCCCTTTTCAGACTTTCTGACTTTATCCCTGATTCAAGGGTTATTTTCTTGAACCCAGGAAACTCTATACAAGGTAGAAGGACTTGCTGTTTTTTTTTCTCTCATTTTTGAAACTTACCTTCATTTTGTCAATCTGTATGTATTTAATAATTTATTTGCTGGGAATAATTGTGTCCTGTTTCCATATATATGTTAAAATTCTGCTTACTCTCACTGCACTCATATCCATGTGAGTATTAATTTTTTTGTCTGGTAATGTTATGTGAAGAACTATGCATAATATAACTTACCTAACATGCGCAAATATTGGTAACCAGAAGCAGTTATAATATAATTATGGTGGTGGTATTGGTACAGTCTTGGGTCTGGTCATGGAACTGCAGGTCTTGTACGGTAATCAACCTGTAAAATGTGCACTGATTTTTACTGCTACTGATCAATCTCCTACCACAATGAAGTTACTGTGATGCTCCTTATATAGTTGATTTACCTTTGAGAGTGGTGGTGTATGATATCCTTTGGAAGCTCTGCAGTTAATAAAGTGTTTGTCTGGTTTCGGTCATCATTGTAAGGCTGCAATGGCCAATAGAAGTTTCATATGAGTGTATATGGAGCTTTGCCTCAGGGCGGCTGGCAAAGATTTTTTCTCTCAGGTATAACTGACTTGTGGGCTGTGTTCTGCAAGGATTTGTATGGGTTTAGTATCTTGGTGAAGTGTAAGGGAAACCTGATTTCATGTTTAGATATTTGTCACTTGTGGTTAATCTGATAATACTTGCATGCATTATCATAAAGGAGATTGCTGACTGGTTTTGATTTATTATGCAATTGTTGGTCATCACTTATGGAGCAGTAGTGTTGTTTCAACATTAATATCAATGGTTTGTCCTTCTTGGAGTGGTGGTGGATGTGCGTCAGCAATGTTGTTAATAACTATTCTAGCTTGTAATTTCTTTGGTCATTCTAGGAGTGACCATGAAGGATGCATATGCTCAGTCTGATCATGCAGTTATATACAGAATGATGTATATCTTTATTTTTTGGTAGCCAATGAGAGATTTTATTTTCCAAACACAGCAACCCCTGCTGACTATGTTTAGACGTTTGTTCTCCTGTATATATTGGTTCGTGGCACCAGTAACAAATGGCTGGGATTGCTGCACTTAACCTTATAATGGTGGCCAGAGCTGCTTCTTACTGGTATATGCTGTAAATGTTTTAAAGTGGTGGTGTATACTGAGACTGACTAGCTTATCCTGATGTCTGGGGCTTTGTTTGTGTAAGGATTAATGCACTGGGACACCAATTTGAGAGGTAGAAAGTGTCACTCTGATGCTGAGTTAATCCCTTAGGTAGATATTTCAGTAGGTTGTTGGTGAGAAAATGCACTAATTCAGACTGAGTTCCCCTCTCTTACCCTGGAATATGGAAAAGGTCTAGTCTAAGAGTTGCTTATTTTGGAAATTGACTTAATAATTAATGCCAGTTGTTGAAGACCTGCCAGCAGTTTGGGACAGGGGTGCCAGACTAACCCAGTAATTAATGGCCTTGCCTTGCTTATAGTTGTTGTTACTGGCTTAGTGGTGGGTGGAATCAGCTGAAGTTTTATAATTCAACTTCTTGCGGTGATTCAGATTTCAGACTTTGACCCATGCACATGACAGGGCATAAACATATCTTTCTTCTGGTAAAATAATGTTTACCAAGTTGGTGGGAAACCTCCTACTGGAATTTAGCTCCAGTTCTAGAAGTTATGTTCCTGCTGGCCTCATGATAGTGTATGCTAGTGATCCCATTTGGCTACTTTGTCATTGCAGGTTCAGTTGCAAATGGAGGTTGCATCCCCAAAATTTTTGGGATGTGCATGTAGAACAAATTTTTTTGTTGAGTTTCTTTGCCCTAACTGTAGTGGTAACTGCAAGTGGTGGGTTTTGCTGTTAGGCACATTTTGCTGGTGGAGGTGGTAATATTATAGAGACTTTTAAATCTGTTGACTCAGACTTTATTGTTCCATGAACAATGTCAATTAGTGATTTTTGTAAACTCACTGACCTGAAGTAATATCATTTCGGTATTTGTTGTGTTAGTATTTCCTGGTCTAGTCATGGAGTTGGTTCCATCGGCTGACCTGGTAACACACTGATTCCCATATTGATGACAATTTTTCTAACACAGTGTAGTTTGCATGTGGTTATGTACTTCTTATCCTTGTTGGGATGGTGATGGATGATACTTCTGCAGTTGTGCTTCAAATGACCAAGTTGGTGCAGTGATCTTTGCAGGGTGGTACATGGAGATTGTGTTGTCTTGCTTTGATGTTACACTGTGGTCTACATGTTTGTGTCAGCTTGTGGATCACATTGGAGTTTTGGAGGTTTTCAGGTTTATGTATAATAGTCGCACTGGCAAAGCTTGGATCTTTTTGAAGCTACATGAAGTAGTAAAAACGGGTGTGGCTTTTGTATTGATGCTGGTGGAATTGTTGTTGGACTTGTCCTTGCTCTGGAGACTGACTGAAATCACTGGCGATTCTTTTATCAAAAAGAGTCATTATTTGCCAATTGAGGTGACTCTGGTTTGAGTGGTAGTGGTATTGGCTTAATGCCTATGGCTTTGCCTTTTAATGTGTTGAGCATGTCTTGATTTTGTATGTTACTTGATTGTTAGTGATGATTTTAATTCTCGTGTGGTAGCAGTTTCGGAAGCACTGATAGCTGGCGGATGTAGGGGTTAACGGTTTTGGTTTTTTTCATCTCTTCGCTGACAAATTATAGTTGGTGATGTTGTCGCAGTTACTACTCCTTGATCAATTTTAAAACTTACCTATGCAGTGGTTAATTGGCAGTGTTAAAGGTGATAATGTGCCAGAACGTGATGAACTGCACGCGAGTGGCTTGAATTTAATGCGTAACAGTGGCGGTGATTATTGGGAAATGTGTGTTTCGGTATTTTTGTTGTACTAGCATAGCTAACTTATTTGTGTACTTTGGCAGCTTTTCCATATTGAAATCTTCTAGCAGACGCTAATGTCCAGTTTTATCTTCTTTTTTTAGCATCAATAAACAATTCAGACGTGTTTAAGGTCAATTGGTTTGCAATACGACACTCGAGGTAAGGTTACGTGCTGGGTTATGAAAGAGTTCAACAGATGCTTTTATTATTAGTGAGGGAGAGGTCTTGGATTGGTAGATCTCAAGAAGATGCCTGACTTAAAATATTCAAAGTATAGTTACATCTTATGTCGACCTTGGTACTTAGAAGGTAGATTCCATTCCATTAAGAATCAAACGTCAACGAGCCACCAGAACTGACTAAGTTTACGGCCCCCAAAAGGAAATGAAAACTCTTTTCAGTGATTCCTTTCCCCTCAAACTTTCAAATCGCGTTTCATTTTTGCTGTTTATGTCTCTGGTTGTTACTTTGTTAACTAAAAAACAAAACTCTTTCTTAATCTAAAAACTGGATTGAAATGAAAAATCTTAGATTAAATCTTTTGTTAGGTTCTTTCGTTGGTGTTCCTTGCTCCAAAGGATTTAGAAAATGATATTACGATTTGAAACCATTCTCGGTCTCAATTGGCTATCGGGAGTTTTCTTTTTTTCGAATGGGTTTGATTAGCATCACTTAATGTCAATTCTCTGTTTGACAGGTCATCCTGGGAAAGGTAGTATTATGGCTATGGCTATTTCACCATTTGCGTCTACGAAAGAGACTACTAACTATGCAAGGTTATGCCGCCTCCTAGTGGATCTTGGATCTCAGGTGCTTCGGTCCACTTTTGACACAATACATCCACCAGCGACTCTACATACAGTTTTGGGAAGTACCTCAGTGCATTACACCACATTGCAATCATTGTACAAAGGGAGGAAGAAAGTGCTGAATCCCACGCAATGGGGAAAGTTGTACCCTTCTCACGCACCCGTGTCTTCTGCAGCCTTCGATATCACACTTCTAACGGTGCTTCTTAGAAATATCTGTGGTTTGGGCCCTCCTGCCAATGGATGGGATCGTCTTCCCCTAGCTACAAACATAAGCATCGCAGATGACATCGCCAGAGTCAAGTATTACAGGAACACTGTATACGGCCATGCTTCTCAAGCCTCTGTGGATGACAGCAGTTTCAGTGCTTACTGGCACAAAATACGAGAACCTTTGGTGAGACTGGGAGGAGCTCATTTTAGAGCTGATATCGACAATCTTGAGCACGACTGCATGGATCCAGATATCGAGGAGCATTATCGTGAACTGATGAAACAATGGAAGAAAGACGACGACAGCATCAAAGACAAGCTTGAAGAAATTGAAGGTAAGAAAAGCATTGTCCACTGCCAATGTGGATGAATCAGAAGGCTACAAATGTATATATTTTAAGTTAACACAGCATTGCAGGCGAGCTCATGAAGTTTTCATTTTGGTCGGAACTAGTCTTATATTTAGAAGGTATTTTTGCGTCATATGTGAAAAATGAAGAATTAGCCCCAATGTTGAAACTGTGTGTTCATTTGTAATATTTTGGTCTGTTCGGGGTACTCGTGTACAATTGCTGGACTACATTTTTGTGATTTCTAAGCGTGAAAGCCTGAGGTCGTGGGCCGAGGGCGATACACAAGACAAAGGGCACAGTTTTTCCCGATACGGACCGACCTTGGCTGGTGAATAACATTTTTTTTTCCCAAAACTTAACAAATGGTTGCGTAAAGAACCTGAATGATAAAGGGCTGTAATTACGGCAAGAATCTCCATAAACGGAACAATTTATGAGCGAGTAGATGGTAGAGAAAACAAGGGCAATGCAAATGAAAGAGAGAGGTTTCATCAAAACATATTTATTTGCGTAATGATATTAAAAGGTGATTTAAAAGGCTTCCCAGAAAACTTCGAAACAAAGGATCGGATACCGCCCGCTGTGAGCGGGCCGGATGGGGAGAATATTGCCCGCTCTTGGAACCAATCAGATTGCAGGATTTGTAGAATACCGCCTGCTTACGAACTGAGAAAAAACAAATGAAGATACTCTATAATGTGTGGGATGCCACGGAATGTGAGATATTCTGCCTTGGCTACCTCTCGGATTTGATGGTGTTTTGACAGCACTCACACATATGTATGATCTTAGGCGAGATAGGTTATCGTTCTTTTTTTTCGTATTATCTTTCTCATAATGAATCTAACTTCCTAGTAGCGTTAGATGTGACCCACATACTTCTGAATAAAATAACCAAATCCCTCCTCCGCTCATGTTGTGTAGTATTCAATTCTACATGGCAAAATAGTTGAATTAGAGTCGTCTTAAGTAAAATGGGCCAGAATAAGATGCATGTGGTTATTTTACATTTCCTGAGGAAAAGAGTGCAGGCAGAACCTCCCACTCCATTTCAGACGGGTCTCTAGGTTTGCTTTAAGTTTTTTTTTGCCTAATGAAACACAGCAGTGTAGTATAACTCATAATGTTTTCATTTTGGTTGGAACTAGTCACATATTTGGAACGTTAATCTAGCGTTATGTGTTAAACTGAACGATCAAAAGGGATTCGTTAACTTGAGTACATAACACATCTTTTGAGCATGACCACATTATTCGCTGGATGTCGGCTAATGTAACACTTTTCAGGTAATGTATTGTTGTAAGAGCACACCTTGGCTACTAAGATAAACCTACTCTGGCTACAAATGAAGATACTAGGTAATGTGTGGGATGAATGGTATGGCACGGAATCTCAGGCTACCTCTCAGATTGGATAGCTTTCTGACAGCACCCATACACATTTGGCCGAGAAGGGTTATTGCCTTATTTTAGTTTTACTTTTGTTAAGGACTTAATGAATCTAACTTCCTAATTCGTTAGATTTTACCTGCATATTCTTGAACAGACTAATGCAATCCTTCCTCCACTCAAATTTTTTGTAGAGTATTCCATTTTACATGGAAAAAATTTCTGAATGAGGGCTGTGTTAGTAAAAAGGGGCAGGAGAAGGCGTATGTGGTTATTTTAATTTTCCCAAGCGAAAACCTGTGAACGAAACTTCACAATGCATTGCAGGCGGACCTCTGGTTTGTTCTAGCGTTTTTTCTTTTTCTATGATTAAACGACGTGAAAACGAGGGTGGAAAAGCGTTCTTTTGTTTTTTTAAACTAGTTCTTACAATGTCCCTTTTTACCGACAAAAATCTTACTCAGACTATCGGCTCCAATGATATCAATATTTATCTCCCGAGTTTCACTATCAGAAACCGCTGAAGCCGAGCCATAAGTTTTTTTTAGAATGTTGTATAAAATTTAAAAAAACAACAACAACAACAGAGGAAGGGAAAGGATCTATTTAGTTAACTTTTAATGATTATAGCGACTCTCACTCGGACTAAAAGTTTCAATGTTATTCCACAAAAGGGTCTCTTGAGAAAATGATAGGCGAAATGGTAAAGATGGACAGCGAACTGAAAGAAGTGAAGGAAAAGCTGTGTACTTTGACAGCCTCAGTGGGAGAAAGCAAGGATGAAGGTAAGTTGAATTATACAATAAAAGTTATCCTGCTTAACCGCAAATTTCGCCGTAGTCAACATGGCCTGTATGTGAGAGAGGGAGAGATCATCCTATGTTAAAGAGATTCAGTTTTTCAAGTTAGACGATCTCTGGAATAATCTCTGCGGTGTACTTTCATTCCCTCCAATTGTTCAAACTTTCACCCGTAATTAGCCTAGAAAACTTTATATTTTGATTAGAGTGGAGAACGAAATAAAACGAAGTACAGTTTTAACGAAAACATTGGCATTAAGTTCGGCTCGATGTTAGAAATTAACAGAGCAGGTTCCACTGCATTTACAAGCCAAATGGTTTTTGGTCAGTAAATTAACATGAATCATACATTGATGCCTTTTTCTTTGGCAGTGGTGTCGTACACGTTCACTAATTTAAATTCAGTGCCGAATACCTAGTAGCATTAGATGTAATCCGCATATTTCTGAATAAAATAACTAAACCCTTCCTGTGCTCATATTGTGGAGTATTCAATTTTACATTGGAAATTAGTTGAATGACGATCGTCTTGATTAAAATAGGTTCCTAAGGAAAAGACTGTAGGAAAAACCTCCCACTTCATCGCAGGCGAGCCCCCGGTTTTCTGCAGCACTTTTGATGAAACCGCGTGACAAAGAAGGCACAAAGGCGTTGTCTGGTTTCCATTTATTTGTTCGTAGTCTCGGTATATCCCGAAAAAGCCTTTCTCAGACTACGGCTCCAATGATATGAATATTAATCTCCCGAGTAATTTATATTACGACAGAGTTTCACCGTCAGACACCCTTGAAGCCGAACAAAAAGAGTAGGTTCACCTGAATTCATAATCTAAATGGCTTTTAATCAGCAAGCATGAATCATACACTAAAACCTTTTTGCATCGTCCAAGTAATTTCTTTGGCAACGGTATCGTACTCATTCACTTATTTAAATCCAGTGCCGAATACCAGAGAGGCACCACAATTTTCAATGCTGCATTCATCAGATTTCTTACTTATTTTGCTACTGCTAGGTATTTTTGATCTAACTGAGCTTATCAATGGAATTCGCCAGCTGTACAAGACTCGCGAGGGATGGCTCTCACCATTTCCATGGTGTGGAGAGTTTCAGTTTTTTCTTGGCAATATTTTTACAAGGCTCAAAGTGGTCAGAAGAAAGAAAACGAGAGGAGAAATCACTGACGTATTTGTTGACATGTCGTCAATACTAGAACCGTATGAAGAGTGTTCAGCGCCGAGAACAGTGTTGATTGAAGGAGAACCTGGTATGGGAAAAACCACCTATTGTAAAAAGTACGCCTACGATTGGGCAACAAAACAGCAAGAACCTCAGGGCTGCGGCTCAACAGCATTTAAAGTGGTATTGTTGTTGAAATGTCGAGACATCCATTCTGACGTCTGGGAAGCCATTAATGATCAGCTTCTGCCCCGAGACATTGATGAAGAAGTCAAACAACAATTCTTTCAGTTTATTCGTGAAAATCAGTCCAGCATTTTATTGATATTGGATGGATTGGATGAGTTACCGTCCAGTAAATTGTCGATGTTTTCCGAATTAATTGAAGGAAGAGTACTCCCCAGATGCCACATAGTTGCAACAGCAAGACACGAAGCTGGAAAAGAGGTGAGAAAATGTTGTGATGCGCTGCTTCAGATCGAAGGATTCACTGAAAAGCATGTGAAAGGATTTGTCACCAAGTACTTTAAAGAAAGGACGGATTTAGCCACCAAGCTCTTGCAACGGATGTCTCGAGATAAAAACCTGAGAGAAATAGCGGCCAATCCTCTAAACACAGCACTTCTTTGCCTTTTATGCGAAGAGTTTGAGGGCACACTCCCCGAAAGTAGAGCTCAACTGTACTTGGATATTGTTGAATGTGTTTTGAGAAGATATAGAAAAAAGAAGGGACTATTAGAAAAGATCGAAGACCTGACAAACCATTACAAACCGCAATTGAATCACCTTGGAAAGGTAGCGTTGAATGGTTTACTTGACGATAAGTTGGATTTTAATGAAAGTGAATTGAGAAACCATGCAAAAGACCTGACTGAATTTGGATTTCTGTCAGTGCAGCCTGGTGGCAGCAAACTAAGACAAATACTGCATTATACCTTCTTACATAAAAGTTTTCAGGAATTCTTTGCAGCATTCTTCATTTGTTCTCAGATTCAAAGCAAGGAAATGAAACCTGAAGAACTAGTTTCCGATCCAAAGTATTTCGTTAAACTTAAACAAATACTTTTGTTTTCGTGTGGAATTTTGGCCATGAAATGCGATGAACAAGTTGTGGCTCTTGTAAAGAGTTTAACAAATGAAGTCAACAAAAATGAAGGCCGTGGTGTAAAAATTGTATTGGAGGCCATCAACGAATGCAAAAGAGAAAAAAGTGATTTTCACTCGCATTTATCGAAGTCGTTTGGAACTGGTTTGAACCTGACCAATTTGGATTTGCCAAACAATGGTATTAGTGATGCGGGTGCTACATGTATTGCTGAGGCAATCAAAGTGAACAAGACGCTAACCGATTTGGATTTGTCAGGTAATCGTATTAGTGATGCGGGTGCTACATGTATTGCTGAGGCAATCAAAGTGAACAAGACGCTAACCGATTTGGATTTGTCATGTAATCGTATTAGTGATGCGGGTGCTACATGTATTGCTGAGGCAATCAAAGTGAACAAGACGCTAACCGATTTGGATTTGTCAGGTAATCGTATTAGTGATGCGGGTGTTACATGTATTGCTGAGGCACTCAATGTGAACAAGACGCTAACCGTTTTTTATTGGTTTTAACAACTTAAACAACTTTGAAGTAAAAGGGCACTGCCTTTAAGTAGGCAGGTACCCTTGAAAATTGAGGGCCGAAGGCCCGAACCTCTAGGGGTCGTTGGTTTGGTGACTACGCAAATATTAATATGTGAAAATCAGATTATATGAAGACTTGAAATTCTATTAGGAACGATTGTGGCCGCTTTGTTAAAAATCAAATGCAATGGCCGCTTTGTTTAAAACAAAAGATATCAAGAAACGGGCAAGGAATATTTAATAGATAATTATTGCGGCAGTCAGCGTTATGAGATATATTGCAGCCAACTGAGGGCTTAGTCTGCCTAATGACTTCTGCCCATCCCACCTCCAGCCAACAAAAACTTTTTTCCGATCCCCATCACTACGAATGCACAAGTTTTCTTATCACACAACTGCCTAAAAATAAAAGAACATTTATTCCAAAAGTCTTGAAAGTTCACATAAACCGAATTCATCTGCAGCTATATTCAGCAAGTCCAAGAAATCAATTCAAACCTAAGCCATAACATGAATGAGCTGGCTCCAAGAGCCCTTTGATTTTCATTACTTCAAAGTTTCGAGCGTCTCTCTTTCATTAAAAACCAAGACAAAAAGCATTCATATGCATTGTTTTTTTATTTCTGTTGCGAGCTGCAGAGCCATTCAATGAAATTTGATCACTGGAAGCTTCCTGAACGGGAGGTTTGTGGGGTGGGGGGGGGGGGGTAATTGACAATAGGGGGAGGTGGGGACACAATAGGGGCGAGGTAAACAAAGTTGTTGTGGATAACTCTAAAATGGTAATGTGTGCCGGCGGATGCCTACTTCCGCAAAGGCCTAGTACTTAATGACGAGTCAGAAGAGCCCCAGATATGAAGGGATGATTGTCGATTTCCTACCTGTTTCAAGACCTTGGGGAAATTAGCTGGCTGCAGGAAGATCAGGATTGGCACCAATTATAAATTCTTTCATCGAAAGATTGGTGGATAGAACTTGGTCCAACAGACTGTAAACAACTCTTATAAAAATTTCTTACAAAGGAGCTCTCTTAAATATAGAGCTAATAAAGTGTTTTCACTTATCATGTTTATTCGATTAAACGCCGCGGCGTTTATTAAAATTTTCGTGATTCAAGTGCGATGTTTATTCGAGGGCGGCGTTTATTTAAAATTCAATTTACTTTTTGCAAACAATAGTATGGTAACTGACCATTTTAATTGTAAAAAACAAAAACACGTTCTAGTGCTTGTCCTCAATTTCACAATCTGCGTGTTAATACTACTGCAATACTTAATGTGAAATAAAGTGAACATAGTTCACCCAATTTCAATGTCTCTGTCCTCTTCATGATCCGAATCCAAAAGATATAATGACGGATGTGCTCTCTCAAAATCAGAACCGGTATTCAAGGGGATTTGTGCCTTGCTCACTCAGAACTTGCAACTGAGATAGAAGCAATAATCGTGCCACAAGGCTGTCGTTCCTTGGGGCCGTGAATCATGTCGTCCACGGGAAGGTTCAACATGCAGCTCGAGAGAGTTTTTTTTTATTACCTCTGTGGGTAGCTCTGCTCAAGAATCAAGAATTCACTCCAAAATGGTACTTTTCGGGGATGATTTCAAATTTCAGCAGCTGTTTCTTCGTGAATTCCCACGGTACCCAGCCTATCATTCCTTTTTAGTGCAAGTGGCCTTGAACGGCTTGTTCCAAGAAACGTCCGGTGCCTGGATATACTTGGTGGACCCTTCTGGCACCATTACTTAATCGATTTTTTTTCCGACTGCAATACGTAAGCAATACTATAGTAATCAACCACCAACCTGTATTTCATTGCCCTAGGGCCTGTTTACATGAATGTGGGGGACCCCAGGTAGGTGAGGTGACTCGCCTAACCGTGGGCTAAAAATAGCCAGCGTTTACATACAATCTTACATCCTCGGGATGCCAGGATGAAGTTTCTCGAGGTTGTTATCACACTTGCGATTAAGGAGTTTAAGATGTCACTAGGACGTGTCGTAAAAACGTTGCAGAAAAAACGTAATTACTTTTCCTCTAAGATTTTGGCTAATAGCTCGATGCGTTAACCGTTTCTGACATTACAACGTCTTCACTTTGGCATAACTTTGGCTGAAATTGGCCCGTCGCTTATATTGTTCTTTAATTTATAATCTATCCCACTGGCATAATTTTAGCAAATTACAGGTAACTATAAATGTTGTTGTAAATACGTGAGTGTGAGCTAAATAAAATCTTCGCACACATAAAATGTTCGAAACATGTAGCTATCGCAAGAAAATACTTGGGGCTGTCCTGGTGTACCGGTACACGGGGGAATTCCTATTGTTATCATATCCACACATGGAGTTGTGACGCAGTTCGTTAATGTTTAGTGCTTCTCAAACTTCACTGATCATTTGCCTCCATTTCCGCCATTTTGAAAGTGTTAGTTCCCGGGGCCTCTTGTTTAACCTGACTTCCGGTCATTTCTATTTCCACTTCCTCATCTTTTAGTTTTATTACTGGGATACCTGTGGTAGCCCAGTCATAAAATGCCTTTGTTTTTTTGTCGTCTTTTTTTTTTTCCTCCGCCACAAAATGGAAAAATTGCGCAATAGTACCCAGAGGTCATTGGGCCCTCAACACCATGACAACTAACTGTGATCCAATGAGGTGTTCACATGCTGATCACGCGTGTTATCTTGATGATGATTGACGTTGTCATGCACGGACAGGGCCGGGTCACATGACGAACCACGAGATTCTTGCATATAAAACTCTTTTGTCAGTCGTTTTGTACTTCAACGTGTTCGGATTACGATCACCTGGAGCATTATGGCGCAAACGCTCAAAATACTTACAGACGCATACACAAGTCGTATTGTTCGCGGCCAATCCACACTAAAAGATGTTATTGAGCGGAATTTTGGAACAGATTGACTCGCGAACGCTTGAAAGCCATGAAAGCCTTGAATGCCTTGTATGCTTTGTATGCTAAGTATGCCAATGTCTTAGTTGAAAAACGAACACTTGTTGTAAAAAGCAAAATCTAAAATCTGAAACCAAACTGCATATACTCTATGCAATATATTGAACAACACTACTAACGTGAGACTGAAGAACAAAACTCTAATGGATGCAAACTGCTTGCGAAGAAAGACGCCATGTTGGATTCACTTGATACTAGGGAACGTAGCAACGATAACAGTGCGAATGGTATTAATTTCACGTTCAGAAAGGTGAATCATATGTTTGTTTTCACTGTAGTTTTATGGATATTCTTTTTTAACAAATACATGATCCAAAATCCTGTGTTTTTTGTGTATAATGTTATTATGCCGAGTATTGTTTACGCAATTGTCTTGTCACAGGCGGCCCAAGCTCGCGCCTCGAGAAAAAGCCAACGATTAATGCATGAATGCGTCACGCGTTGTGTGACTCGGTGTTAAGTTACGAGAGGAACCGTTGAAAATTTGAACACGTTGTGAGGAATAGTATAGGGAACGAAATGTGGCCGATTTACAACGATAAATATTTCGAAATATGCACATTTTTCTCGTAAAATCAATAAAACTTATTCATACCCTGTGTATCCGTTGTAGTTCCTGGCGATTTCTGTCGTTTTAAGCTTGCTTTACCATCACTGTTATTCACGTCATCTACTTTTATTACGTTGGTAAAATCTGTACAGACATCACACCAACCAACTCGCGCGCAAAGTAAGAAGACTATATTGAAGGCTTGAAATTATATTACGATCGATTTTCATCAAGAAATGGGCCAGGAATTTTCCACAATAGTGCAAATAATCGTGAAGGCCGATCGCGGATAAGCGATTGCGTGACGCTCGGTAAGCTGTAAGATGACATGTTATTATATACCAGACGTAAAAACTCTTCAGATTCTTAGTCTGCATTTTGTACCCACTCTCCAGTCTGCAGTCTGCTGTCTGCATTTTGTACTAACAGGTATCCATGGCACCAATACAGTTTATTTTTGGTTGCATTTATTCGCAAAACACACATAATCTACCACAAAATACCTGTGTGTGAGGTAATTCGACATTTTCGTTCTTTCCCACATTAATATTCTTCTCTCCTTTTGTAAGAATGTAGACATCACTCACAATGTTCCAAGTAATCCACCCGCCCTACAAAAAAAGTAACTCTTGCATGCATAGCATGCCTATGTTTTGAAATAGGTGTATGCCCTTGGCTAGACTTGAGCGCACTATTTCAGTATACCAGTCCGACACCCGTAGTATCACTACACTTGATTCCAAGGATCCAGTACCATCCAGGTATCCCAGTTACCCTGCTCACAGGGTCTAGTTGAACATCTTTTAGCTATATAAGGTCACGTGTGAATGAGTGAGGAAAGCGATGTATGCTGCACAACATCGATTTATGACATCCAAAGTCGATGTATTCCGGATGAAATTGATTTATTTTATTTAAAGACTTGTATTATAACGCATAACAATAACGTAATTGAACAAAACATTAACGTATCCATGTTCGATATTTTGTCCGTAAAAGAACCTCATAAGTTCTGTCTGTGATACAAGTTTGCCAATTCCCCTATCGGCTTTTGGAATCGACTTAACCCTACTTTACCATGGCCGGACACTTCTTTTGGCACCCTACATCTGCTACTGGAACCACGACTCCACCCAACACCGAGATTTGATCTATGAGTGGGGCAATTTGTAAAATCATCGATATCTTTTGGCGTCTCGAAGATATCGGCACGCGACAAAATAAGATCAACTTTATTTTCTGGGTCTGAAAACTTGTAACTCCGCATGTGACTTGAAATGTCTTTTTAACAACCACGCAAGGGAACGACTTGAGATATACAACTTCGGTCTTCTCGATAACTAAACCCACAAGTTCCACCAGCGAACGATTTAACTGAACAGCAAATCTCCATGTTAGCATGTAAGATGAGACCCTTATGAAACAGATCAGTTAGCTAAATCAGTATGTAGCTTGTCAAATTGACTATTGTAGCCATTCTTTGATTTCAGCCAGCAAAGTAATCATTACTAGATCTGGACATTCTAGTTTTCTTAATGCAGTAATTCCTGAAAGGTTTTGCTAGATGTCGTGCAAAGAGGGAAAAATAAAACCATCTCTTGATATTTTGGAGGTTGATTCATCTTTGAATTTCTGTGTCACGCTTGTCATGCAACTGATATAATAAGATAGAGAAGATATATAAACTGGAACCCCAATTTGGCTAGAATGTGGTAGAGCATAATTAACGTGATCATCGAGACAGCTAATAAAATCATAAATAAACAAGGTAAGAGTGCTATGTTAGATTTTTTTGGAAATTGTAATGATTTATGCAAGTTAACGGCGGCGACAAGAAGGCACACCATGTATGTTTCATAGTCGCTATCAAGTAAAC